TTTTCTTCCTCTTCCTTGGTATTCATCAAATGTTTTCTAAGTTCTAGTTCGCCGGTGGAGCTACTTAGAGCTAAGTAGTTTTCACGTTTCTCGGTTGTATCCTGGGAAACAATTTCTCACGATCCTCTAGCATCCTAGGAGGGGGTAAATATATTTTAAAGAAATCGTGTTTTCACGAGTCTCGGATTTTTCTATTTCCTAATGTCATTGTTCATCACAAATACCGCATTCCATTTGTCCACCATTGTGATCATGTGATTATGGATTTAAATATTCACATGAAAGCCTTTGTAAATCTGCAAAGGCTCTAGAGACAGGAATCACAACATTATACATTAAAAAAAAATCAAAACATCAATAAAATACAACAAACCAGTTTAAAACTAAAGACAAGAAAAACCGTGGCTCGATGAAAATAACTTCGATGAAAGATGGTTGTGGTATATAGTGCAGCGGTTTTACAATGAGTATCGGTTATGATTTATCACTACAGCAAAGCTTTGAAACATATTCTAATCTTGAAGCATCTTTCGAATAAAAAAATTCAATTGTGGTATAAAAGAAATTCAATTGTTTTGTGGTATTAAAAAAAATCAATTGCCAAATGTAATTTTTACATGAATTTGGAACAAACCTCTTACACCCCAGAGGAGAATGGTTCAGCTATTTTGAGAACAAGTTTTATCTTTTTATGTCACTAAAGCCAAAATCTTGTAAATAAGTACATTCACTACAGAATTGAATTAAGAGGGAAAAGTTAAATGAAAGGACATTAAATCTATGTACTCTTCCATTTCATATGTTTCTTTGACACGATTTTCTGATTCAGATATTGATGGTCAAAAGCTATGTTTTGAAACCGGACAGGAAGGCGAACCGGCAACTTAAGTGGTTCACTGGTTTACCAGTTCAACCGGTTTAAATTGACTTTTAAAACAGATAAAAATCGGCTATAAAAATTATTAAAAAAATAATTAATTTCTAAAATTTCAGTTTAACCGGTACCGTTTCACAGTCAAACCGCGGGTTTGTCCGGATTTGCCGAGTTTGATCGGTTTTCAAATCTACCGGTAATTAATCTAAATTGGACCAAAAAGGCCTCCGATTTTTTATCGAACCAGTTCGACCGCCCGATTCGGTCCGTTTTTCAAAAAACAGGTCAAAAGACGTTCGTACTCACACAGTGACACTTATTTGATGGCGAGGTAAGGTTGCTTGAAAAATATCATCAGACGCTTATGTCACAAGTTTTACGTTTTAATTTCTTGCATGCCATTATGGTAAACTACTTGTCCTTGAAACAAAAAGAAAAAAGTAATAAACATCAATTGTATGGCGAATATCACTTCTTGCAGCCTAAGTAGATATAAACAACTATTTGTTTCTTCAATTGAAGTTTGACTGTGATTGGAACATGAACATAACGCAGTTGACGTTTTCTATTTACAAAACTTTATGATTTCTTTTTTTGATTAATAAATCATTTCTTGTAATAAGACTTTGGCCTTTCTTCACAAAAAGAAAAACAAAAAAATAATTAAAAAAACATGTAAATGCCGTGCGTATGTTATTGAAGCAACGTAGCATTGACTAAGACAATCGATCAACTCCAAATATGACTTCAAAAGAAAGGGAATTACGAAAAATTATTTGGTACAACTACTGTATCCTGGTTTTTAATGCAGCAAGTATTAGCATCCCCTATTTTGATGTTATCATTCCCGTAGAAATTATCTCTTCCCCCCCTCCTAAAATTACATTGTACCCTATTATTGTGTCGGGATGCACAATCCTACGTGGTACAACAGTTGCACTGAATAATTTCTCAGGAATTACGCCTTTGGTCCTCGAATTTTGACGATTAATTTGACATTGTTTTGGTATTTTCTTTATCGTGCCTGCGACACACAATTGGGTCATCATCTTTGTTTGGACGATAAAACCTGGTTCCTACTTAAACTTGCAAATCGACAAACATCAATGGAAGCGTTCTTTACAACGCTAAATACGTCATTTTTTTTTTCATTTTTCAATTTTAAATTTGCGGCCTAATGATGGTATCCCAAGAACAAAAGGAAGACATCATCTGTTATATATTCAGCGGCGTACTGTATGTCAGAAAATTTGGAATTCAAAGAAAAGATAACAAGTTAATGAAGATAGATTAGTCATATTTATCATGCCAATAGTAAAGAAAATACATGAATGAATCAACAAAGTAAGGAGATTCATTTCAACACAATAATTGAGCATGGTTTTTCAAACCAACACACCCGCAAACTGACATCAAAATTTGAATGTGACGAGCATTTAGTTGTCCATATTAATTATGATAGCTTGCGGAGGCTTCTTCTTCTTCTTCTTCTTTCTTGAGGGGATCGTGTTACTTCAAACATATCGTACTTATTACACATTTCAAAACTATAATGATATGGAGCGTAAATATGTTTTAGATATGACTCGTTCTTTTTACCTAGTAATATTATAGAAAGAATGTATTTATACTACCAATTCTTAAATAAATCAACTTCTCTGTTACGGACTTTACATGGAAAAACAATATATGAGTTCTTCTATCAAAACCCTCCACATAATGAGAAGGATTCCGTCATTTAAGTACCATCCCAATGTTGAAAATGGCCTTTCAAAGCTGTCCACGCTATGGATTATTAATTATAGAGTGCAGACACATTCATACCTTCGGTTGGTGGCTAAAGGGTTTACTCAAACCTTCGGTGTGGATTATATCGACACATTCAGCCCCATTGTCAAACCTGTCACTATAAGGACTGTTTTGTCCGTTGCAGTGGCTCACTTTTGGTCTCTCTCGCAGATTGATGTAAATAATGCCTTCCTCAATGGCGATCTACAAGAGACCATCTGCATGGTCCAACCACAGGGGTTCGTTGATTCCAAAAGACCACACCATGTTTGCAAGCTGCATAAGTCTCTCTATGGACTTAAACAAGCACCCCGTGCTTGGTTCTCCAGACTCAGCTCCTTCTTATTATCGTTGCATTTCAAAGCCTCCCAATGTAATCCATCATTGTTTATCTACTCCGCCCCTAATTGTGTTTGTTCTTTGCTAGTCTATGTCAACGATGTGATTCTTACAGGAAACAATTCTTCATTTGTTTGGCGCATCATCCATAGCATTACTGCGGAGTTTGCTATTTGTGATCTTGGTCGCCTACGATTCTTCCTTGGCATTGAGGTATTACAGCAACCTCATGGTATTGCTCTTTCTCAAAGGAAGTACCTTCTTGATATGTTCAAATCGGCCAACATGGCCTCCTGCAAACCATGTTCTACGCCAATGGTTTCTGGCCTTGTTCTCTCACGCCAAGATGGATTCTCCCTGCCTCCTAATGAAGCTGCGACTTATCGGCGTTTGTGTGGCAGCCTGCAATACGCCACTATTATTCGTCCAGACATATGCTTCCCGCTCAACAAGCTCTGTCAATTCATGCATTGCCCTACGACTATTCATTTGTAAGCTATCAAACGAGTTATTCGTTATCTACGAGGGACGGGGTTTGTTTCTTCAATTAGGCCCAATTCACTCTCTCCCCACTTTTACGGATGCTGATTGGGCTGGCTTTCTGGATGATCGCAAGTCCACAACTGGATTCTTAATTTATCTTGGTTCTAACCTGATTTCATGGACTTCACGCAAGCAACCTACTGTTGCGAGATCCTCCACTGAAGCGGAATTCAGGTCCATTGCAAATGTTTGCGTCGAGTTACATTGGCTGCATGCTCTACTCTCTGAACTTGGTGTTCTGCTACGAGCTCCACCAACAGTTTGGTGCGACAACGGAGCTGTCTTCTTGGCCTCCAATCCGGTCTATCGCGCCTGTACAAGACATGTCAAAGTGGACTTTCATTTCATCCGCCAGAATGTGCAGGAGGGTTTAGTCGTGGTTTGTTCAATTTCTGCAGCGGACCAAATTGCCGACATCCTTACCAAGCCGGTAGCCAAACATCTCTTCAACAAGTTTTCCGACAAACTTCGGCTCTTGCATTTACCGCCTTCAGTTTGAGGGGCGTGTTAGGGTTGTAATATACTTGAATTTGAAATGTATAGATAAGGATAAATAGTTAGCAGGATTCAATCGTTATCATCAGTTATGTATTCATCTATATATGTACTCACAAGATGAATCAATATGATTAACAATTCATATCTAAACTATTGAGTGATTTAAACCCCCCAAAAAAAGATTACTTTTTCACACTACGGTTTGATGATATCAACTGTGAAAAGCAACGCATAAATCGGCACCGATCGTTGTCAGAACATTCTTTACCGAGTAATATTAATTCCGTGCATTTTTTTTCTCTTTTGGTTTTTGTGCATAAAAAAAAAATTGTAATCGTACATAAGTTGAAAAAAAAGACATATATATATACAATAATTTACAGTAAAATAGTATAGAGATTCGTAGAAAAAACAAAAACACCACTTACTAAGTTCATAACTACCAACTTAATAAGGGATAGTTAAGTAAATAATATGCGATACAGCAGTGCCTATCCTATTAGACTATTCATTTTCACTAAATGGTCATATTCCATATATATACAATTTTTCCACTGCAAGTTTAATATTGGCACACAAAATTGGGAACCTTTTCTCTTGATTCCTTCTAAAATTGCTGAATTGAAGGATCTAACACAGAAATACACAAACGAACAACTCCTAAATCTCACTCCTATAAATTAAACTGTGATTTTCAACCTTTAGAAAAAAAAAATTTAACTGCGATTTTCCGCACCACCTAAAACCAAGATATACGATTTTGATTAGATAATGAAATTTTTGGTGAAAGTCTTTAAGACTAACTTCATGCAAGGTCAAAGTACTCGCAATTGCTTTGAATGGTACCTCGTGCATTAGAGCTTGTACATTTGAACCGCCACACTTTGAGAACTCAATCAAGACTCCCCATACAAATTGTACAACCATCTTCCACCTCCTCATGATTGGCCGACAAATTCTAACCAAGGAACGCCGCGACGCACCTGATCGGCCTGCTATGGCTTTGAAGCGCGGCAAAACATCGGTGCTGACCATCTTGTGGGTCCCCGACCCAAACCTGACAACTCGAATCGGCTGACCCGCTCACCACATAATTCCCCACGTTGGCTAAGCACATCACCGCGTGCGTATGGCCTTGAAGTGCGGCGCCGTATTGCAGTTGGCCGGAAAACCAACCCTTCAGCCAGTAATGCACGTAGCCGTCGGAGCATTCGCCGTAGAGGATGCCGCCGTCGGATGCCAGGGTAAACGCCTTGACCGGCGAGTATTTGGCCAGGAGGGTGATGGTCAGGGAATAGGGCCGGTCCCCGCTGCAGAAGCTGCACCGCGACAACTTGATGGAGGCGTCGTCGGAGGCGGAGGACGCCGTCGTCAGCGACGACTATGGCGTTGATTGGTTCCTGATGGGCGTGAATTGTTTCGATGCACTTTAGAACGAAAATTCTCCACACTTTGACGGATGCTGAGTAAAGGATGTCATCTGATACGTTGATTGCTCGTGAAGTTATTGGCCCCGCATGTTTCATTTGCACACATTTTGGGTTCTAATTAAAATTTTGAAAGTAGTACTACCTCCGTCACACAAAAATAGTCCAGATTGAGTTTTCAAATTTGTACTAAAAACAGTACAAAATTCAAAATTCAACGTGGAGTTGCGGACTATTTTTGTGCAACAAAGGGAGTAGTAAAAATGTGAATAAACAAATTATTAACACATAATTAAATTAACAATAAGATGCTTAAGTAATACTCCCTCCGGTCATTATTATAAGTCATTTTGATTTCATCCTGTGTTTAACTTAGGATGTTCTTTTAATTGGAAAGAAAAACTTAAAAATATATTTTCACATTCATTGTGTTCTCATAATTACTATGAAATGTTTTTAAGATTTTTATCCCAATTAAAAAGACATATTAAGTGAAACCTAGGACGAAATCAAAATGTCCTATAATAAGGACGGAAGTGATTACTTGAGCGATTTCGTCGGACCTTAAATCTGTATTTTGAAAACTAGACCGGACCGGGAGATCGAACCGGTTCGACCGGCGATCGGAGGCCTTCCCGGTCCGGCTTGTATTAATAACCGGTAGACGTAAAAACCAGTCAAACTCGGTCAAACCCGCACAAAAACGCGGTTTGACCAGGAATCGGTATCGATTAAACCGAAATTTTAAAAATTTGAAAATTAATTATTTTTTAATATTTTTTATAGCTGATTTTTACCGATTATAAAAGCCGATCTAAACCGGTTGAAGCGGTGAACCAGTGGACCACTTAAGTTGCCGGTTTGCCTTCCGATACAGTTTTCAAAACATAGCCTTAAATGGTTCATTTTGTTAATCTAAGTAACACAAGTTGTACGTCATTGACCCCTTTAAATTAATCTTGGTAGGCAATGTATGAATTGGATATGTAATATACCTAAACTCTAATTTCATTTGAAATGTATCCACAACTTTTGTGCAATGTTGACCAGACCAAAAAGGCTATTACAAAAAAAACTCGCCTCAAAATTTTTGCCACAAACTATCAATAAAGAGGTGTGTGGGTTTTCGACATATTGTTCAGCGAGCAAAATACGGTAGCGTAATTTCAAGAGACGTCTGATTTTCTGCACCACCTAAATAGATCATCAAGTGTCTTTTATAATCATAACAAACCAGCTACTGCACATCTGGATGAAGCACCGTTTGATCAGGAGAATGCAGATCAGTCAGGCAACTACAGACTATTTTGAATAACATGCAGGCTTTGCAGTTTGAAGTGAATAAGATAATGAAAGGGAAAATGACTTCACCATCTTCATCAGCTAAACACATCAACTTTGCTCACTTCAGTGACTTTGCAGGTATGAGTTCATTCAACAAACTCAATACCTTAGAACAATTGGCCTTGATTATATGGATATTGGACAGTGGAGCTACTAGTCACATGAGTTCTAGCTTGAATTTCTTTGAATCCGATCATAAATTTACATGCATAACACCTGTATGTTTACCTGAGGGAAGTATAGAAAAGGTAGAACACATAGGATATGTACCACTTTCCTCAAACTTTAGCCTTACAGATACCTTACATATCTCAACCTTTCATTATAACCTAATACCAGTAAATAAACTTGCCATTGCTTCTAAAATAGATTATTTTTTCTCCACAACCTTTTTTGTATTGTGGGACCAACAGACTAGACAGGTAGTGGCTATTGGAAAGGTTATCAACAAGCTTTACATTTTGGATCAGAAGTCATTCACTACATAAACCATCCATCAGATTGCATCCACGCATATCAACCATCCTCTTTTGATGAAACCTAAATCCAGTGTAACCCATCAATCCTTGTTAGTTACTAAAGATAGTAGAGAAATTTGGCATAGGAGACTTGCCATCCCTTAGATGAGGTTTTACAGAAATTACCTGTACTTGCTGCTAGTAAAGCACAGATTTCTTTTTCTTGTGATATTTGTCCTTTGTCAAAACAACACAGATTGTGTTTTTCTCTTAGTTCAATACAAAGTTCACATATTTTTTTATCTCATTCATGTTGATATCTAGGGGCCTTATCAACAAAGGTCACTCAGTGGTGTACATTACTTTCTTACCATAGTAGATGATTTTAGCAGGTCCACTTGGACTTTTCTGATGCAAAACAAATCTCAGACTTTATCAACCTTACAAACATTTTATACCTTTGTTCAAACTCAGTTTACAGCTTCTGTTAAACAGATTAGAACAGATAATGGGACTGAATTCCTTAGCCAAGAATGTCAGTTTTTCTTTAAAGATAAGGGGATTATCCACCAGAAATCTTGTGTATACACCCCCCCTCAACAAAATGGGGTGGTAGAGATAAAACGTAGGCATTTACTGCAAGTAGCCAGATCCCTCATGTTTCAAGCAGGGTTACCAAAAATCTTTTGGGGGGATTCAATTTTGACAGCAACCTATATCATCAATAGACTTCCCACACCACTTTTAGGAAATCAGAGTGCTTATGAAGCTCTGTTTCAAAAATCACCTGATATTTCACACATGAAAGTGTTTGGTTGTCTGAGTTATGCAACCAACACCTTGCCTCAGAAAGATAAGTTTGATCCAAGGGCTATCAAGACCATTTTAATAGGATATCCCCCAGGTCAAAAAGCTTACAAACTCTATGATTTACATACCAAAAAGATCATTATTTCTAGGGATGTGATTTTTCATGAAAACACATTCCCTTGCCTAAATACCTCAAATCCAGATATATCATCTACATCAGAACCATTACCTCAACCTTCATCTTCTCATTCAATATCACCTCACCCAAATTCAACATTTGGTATGACCACAAACATAACCACACTCAGTAGAAGTGCTAGAACTTTCCAACCAGCTTGTTGGATGAATGACTATGATCTCCAGAAGGCAAAGCTAGTTGTGACTGATCCACAGGTACTATCTAAACACACTACTTCACCTTATACACCACAGACTTATCCTTACTATACAGCCTCTATGTTTAGCAGTGATCATTTATCCTTTTTAGCTGAGATAGATCACTTGCAAGAACCTGCATCTTATATTCAAGCTAAAACCCAAACAAAATGGATCAATGCTATGCAAACAGAAATTGATGCTTTAGAAAAGAATGATACTTTGGGACCTAACAGAATCACTACCAGGAAAGAAGGCCATTGGCAGCAAGTGTGTTTATAAGATTAAATATGACTCTGATGGAAGTGTTGATAGATTTAAGGCCAGACTAGTGGCAAAGAGGTACAATCAGGTAGAAGGGGAAGATTACTATGACAGTTTTTCCCCTGTTGCTAAAGTAGTGACAGTCAAAATACTCTTAGCCATAGCAGCATCTTCCAATTGCTCATTGCATCAGTTGGACATCAACAATGCCTTTTTATATGGTTTTTTGGATGAAGAAGTGTACATTACATTGCCGGATGGTTATATTAAGGGGACCTCAAACCAAGTTTGCAGAATGAAGCGATCTTTGTATGAGTTAAAGCAGGCTTCACGCCTGTGGAATACAGAATTTACCAACAAAATGACAGTTTTTGGCTTTAAGCAATCAGAAAATGATCCTTGCTTGTTTGTGAAGTCAGATTCCAGTAGCTTTTTAATTGTGTATGTGGATGACATACTGATCACTGGTTAAAGTGAATCTGCTATTATTGAGGTAAAGCAGTATCTTCATGATCTTTTTACAACTAAGGATCTTGGTTATGCTAAGTACTTTCTAGGCATAGAAATTGCAAGATCACCAGTAGGAATGTATCTCAGCCAAAGGAAATACATTCTGGATATATTGAAGGACACATGTTTGACTGGTATCAAAACATGTACTACTCCACTTCCAAAAGGACATCAATTCATAGATGAACCAGGACCATTGATTGAAAACTCTTCTCAGTATAGAAATCTTGTTGGTCAGCTTCTCTATTTGGGTTTCACCAAGCCAGAAATTACATACTCAGTGCAGCAGTTGAGCAAGTATGTACAGAATCCATCTCAAGCACGCTGGGAAGCTCTCATCCATGTGCTGAATTACCTTAAGGGAACTCCTTCTTATGGTCTTTTTTATTCTTCTTCATCTAGCTTCAAAATGGAAGCTTATTGTGACGCTCACAATGCTTCCAATCCCATCCACAGAAGATCAGTGATAGGCTTCTGCATATTCCTTGGTTCTTCTCTGATTTCTTGGAAGGCAGAACAGTAGACTACAGTTATAGTATCTTCCTCAAAAGCTGAGTACAGAAGCTTGAGTTACACAGCCAGAGAAATATTTATCGGAGGCGTATTGTAATATATGTATTTACTATAGTAGCCTTGTATATAGGGTTTTATTATATCTATATATATACATTGCATTGTAGATTACAATGAATATACAATACCTATTATTCTAACTAACAATTAATATAGACAAAATAGACAAAGGAGCTCCTTTGGATGAATCTTCCATTAAAAAACAGCTAAGTACCTATGCGACGTTTAGCAACATGGGTCCAATCGGATAACACAGTCGTTAACCTAAACAATTAAAACTAAAGGAAAAAAAAAAAAAAAAGAGCCAAAGAGTGGATTTTGATAAGTGTCCAGTGCAGTAAACCACAAATTCAGCAACTAACCAAGTTTCTCTCGAGGACAATCTACCAGCAATTCCATATATCTATGGCAAGCCTTTGTCGTAAACATCATTCATTCATAACTTCTTTGAAGGGTCCTTTGGGCAGTACAACATGAGCAAAATGATACTCTTTTAAAGTCGTTATTTGAACTAGTTTCACCTTTTTTTTTTATTGATCTCAACAAGTATAGGTAATTTGAAGTCCAACAAGGTAACATGCTACATGTATATTAGCTCAAAACGGGACTAAAACCAATTTCTTGAGCTACAGCGGGACACGATTGATTTTAACTGTCATAGTCCTTAACTCCTTTTCATGTATTCTATAGTATAGATAGGAGAAGAAAAGGCTAAATTTATCAGTTAGATTGGCAATCTTCTTTGTCCTGGTACTAGCTAGTTAAATAGTATTTGGATGTGGAAAAACTTCAAGGATTTGTATCGTGTTTTATTTTCATTTATACAAGCGGTTCAAAGATTTTTTATTTTTTAGGAAGAAGAAGAAGAAGAAGAAATAACAATTCTATCTGCTTTTCCACAAAAAAAAAAAAAAACAATTCTATCTGGAATCTGGATCACGGAGCACAGTATATCACATTCAAAATTCCAGTAGTAATTAATGTAGATTAGTTAATATTATTGGTGGAAACATTAAAGCAACCAAATAAATGTAGCATGTGCTATCAGTACAGTACCATAACACACCATTGTTGTAACTCCATGCGCGCACCTTATCACAATTGCTTCTTTTATCTTTCTACTCCAAATTAAAACAAACAATTTTATATTTACAAAAAAGAAAAGAAAGAAAGAAGCATAAGATAGAAGGATAAAGGAGAGGATGGAAATGCCTTCGAAATTCGACCCTCCTGATAATTCTATCACAACATCTCTAGCTGCAATAAGAACTCATCCACAACACGACCATAGCCAATTCTCAAGAAGCATTTCCCACAAAGAACCCTCTTTCTCAGAAGCTTCATCGTGCACTCCGCCGCGTTTAAGCTCAACTTCCCTTACCAATCCACGCCTTTACGTTTCCCAGCCTTCCACTCCACGCCTTAATTCCTTCACATCGCCTTCAAAGCAAGATGACCTTCACACAATTTATCGGTGCATTTCGTCGGTGCTCAAGAAGGACGGCGCGATTTTGTCCGTCGCGGCATCCAACGGTCTGGTTTACACGGGTTCACAAAGCAGCGTGATTCGGATATGGAAGTTGCCGGAGTTCACGGAATGCGGTCAACTCAAGTCAAAGGCGGGCATGGTGGTGGCGCTAGAAGTGTCGAATGATAAAGTGTATGCGGCTTATGCTGATTGTAAGATCCGGGTTTGGCATCGGACTTGGGAAGGTACGATAAAGCATGTCCGGCTGGCGACGATTCCGAGGACGGTAGGTTATGTCCGGAGCTACATCATCGGCAAAGATAAGCTGGTAAGTTTCTTAATCAGTTCATATAATGCGCTGATATGGACCTAATTTATCTGTACGCAGCTAGCATGCATTTATGGTACTCGCGCTCTTTGATGAAATGATATTTTTCTTTCTTTGTTTCTTTTTTCTTGGGTGCTTTAATGAAGTTATGATGAATATTAGTTGGACGAATTCACAGCATTGAAAGTACGTATCTTTCAATCAATTGCACGTAGGATGTAATAGTCGTGACTAATATGGCTCTCGTGAATAGCAAATGATGACTTCCTTCTCTGGATGGACCGCATTCCAGCCGAGTAAATTCAAACACCCTCCACACCCAAAAAAAAAATAATAAAATAAAAAAATTAACAATAATAAAAACAAAATAAAATTAAAAAAAAAAGTACATTATGATAGTGTGGAAATGAACGTACTTGAAGTATCCAGAACACTAAATAGTAAATATTCCCTCGCTAAGCCACCATGGTTGGTGCATATTTGAGTTGGATAGGTCCTTTAGGTATTAATATAACTAAGTATTTAGTAGTACTCTTTGTGATACCACATTTTTGTTTGTACCAAAATCAACTTATTATACATCAACTAGGATAACGTAAGCTGCCCGACCTCCAAAAAAAAAAAATAATAACCTAAGCTGCCTTCCTTACGGCAATATTATGGGGAGTAAAATAGGATATGGAAAATAATGGAGCACTGATTGGACATAGAGAATATTAATGCGTGGTAGCTGTAATATATGATGCCATAGATAGCACCTTTTATTAATCAGATTCCGTTTTGAGCTCTTGTATATTCACTCCCGGACAAGGTTTTTTTGTTACAGAAAGTGGAGGCAAATGCCTATATTCCGACATTTCTAGCTCCCGGTCAAGTTCTGACCATGCATTACAAAACAGTCATAATTTGTTTATTTATTACTCTCGTGACTTCCAATATCACGATAGAAACTTTTTTTCAAGTATTTACTCTGTTTCCTTAAAAAAAAAAATTTTGTTAAAATAAAACAGTATAATAAAATGAATTATATTTTTGAAACGAAATGAATAATATTGAATCACGGTCATTCAATGTGGTGCTTAAATTTGCCGTTTAAATAGAAATAAAATCATATGTCGCTTGAAATTACGCTACAGTATTTTGCTCGCTGAACAATATGTCGAAAACCCCACACACCTCTTTATTGATAGTATGTGGCAAAAATTTTGAGGCGAGTTTTCTTTGTAATAGCCTTTTTGGTCTGGTCAGCACGTGCATAAAAGTTGTTGATACATTTCAAATGAAATCAGAGTTTAGGTATATTACATATCCAATTCATACATTGGCAAAACCAAGATTAATTTAAAGGGGTCAATGACGTACAACTTGTGTTACTTAGATTAACAAAACGAACCATTTAAGGCTATGTTTTGAAAACTGTATCGGAAGGCAAACCGGCAACTTAAGTGGTCCACTGGTTCATCGCTTCAACCGGTTTTGATCGGTTTTTATAATCGGTAAAAATCGGCTATAAAAAATATTAAAAAATAATTAATTTTCAAATTTTTAAAATTTCGGTTCAATCGGTACCGATTCCTGGTCAAACCGCGTTTTGTGCGGGTTTGACCGAGTTTGACTGGTTTTTACGTCTACCGGTTATTAATACAAGCCAGACCGGGAAGGCCTACGATTGCCGGTTGAACCGGTTCGATCTCCCGGTCCGGTCAGGTTTTCAAAATACAGATTTAAGGTCCGACAAAATCGCTCAAGTACTTACTTAAGCATCTTATTGTTAATTTAATTATATGTCAATGATTTGTTTATTCACATTTTTACTACTCTCTCCGTCCTACAAAAATAGTCCACAATTCCATATTGAATTTTAAAGTTTGTACTTTTTTAGTATAAATTTGAAAACTCAATGTGGACTATTTTGTGGGACGGAGGTATTACTACTTTCAAAGATTTAATTAGAACCCAAAATGTGTGCAGATGAAACATGCGGGGCCAATAACTTCACTGGCAATCAACGTATCAGATGACATCCTTTACTCAGCATCCGTCGATAGAACCGTCAATGTGTGGAGAATTTCCGATCTAAAATGTATCGAAACAATTCACGCCCATCAGGAACCAATCAACGCCATAGTCGTCGCCGACGACGGCGTCCTCTTCACCGCCTCCGACGACGCCTCCATCAAGGTGTGGCGGCGCAACTTCTGCAGCGGCGACCGGCCCCATTCCCTGATCGTCACCCTCCCGGCCAAATACTCACCGGTCAAGGCGTTGACCTTGGCATCCGACGGCGGCATCCTCTATGGTGGATGCTCCGACGGCTACGTGCATTACTGGATGAAGGGTTGGTTTTCCAGCCAGCTGCAATACGGCGCCGCACTTCAAGGCCATACGCACGCGGTGATGTGCTTAGCCAACATGGGGAATTACGTGGTGAGCGGGTCGGCCGATTCGAGTTGTCGGGTTTGGATCCGGGACCCAGAAGATGGTCAGCACCAATGTTTGGCCGCGCTTCAAGGCCACAGGGGGCCGATCAGGTGCGTCGCGACGTTCCTTGGTCGGAATTTGTCAGCCAATCATGAGGAGGTGGAAGATGGTTGTACGATTTGTACGGGGAGTCTTGATGGAGTTCTCAAAGTGTGGCGGGTCAAATGTAGAAGCTCTAATGTCCGAAGTACCATGCAAAGCAATTGCGAGTACTTTGACCTTGCATGAAGTTAGTCTTAAAGACTTCAGCCAAATTTGTCTATCTGATCAAAGTCGTATGTCTTGGTTTTAGGTGGTGCGGAAAAACCGCAGTTTAAAATAAATTACTTTCATGAAACCAAGTGAATATATAACAAAGACTACGTATAATTTTCTAAAGTATTCCCCAAAAAACATCTTAGTGTAATTAGAAAAAGGTCCTCCAAATTAAACGAAAGAAACTTGCACTCCTTCTTGGATAGCATTTTGAAATAGAGTGTGCCTTATTACCTTACCATTAAAATATCAATCAAATTAATTACCATTTATGATCAGATAAATAATTGCCATTTATGTAAATTTTGGCATCCACTCAAAAATTAAAACAAATTAGTCAACATTAAATACGGGATCAATCAATTATATTCAAATTACAATGGCCAAATAAAAGGATAACATAAATATTCCACCCTATCCGGTTGAATTAATTTTACTAAATTTGAATTTGAAATAATTATTAATTATCACACTTAAATTTCAAAATAAAATATTATCTATATCAAAACACGGTTGCCCGTTCTCCAAAAGTACCTATATAAGACTCACTCCAGTTATTGATATCTCACTCAATATTGCGAATATACTACGTGTCTGTTTGTTCATTTTTTTTCATCTTTATTTGAATCTTAAGATGTTTAGATCAATTTTGTTACTTAATGCAACTGTGGAGAGGTGAGGAAAAATCAATAAATCAAGTAGGAGAGCATCATTATGAAAATGAATAAAGGTTTGTATTTCCTTTATGGTATTTATTAATTTGTTATGTGAATTTTTATGCAAAGGTAACTTTCAGCAACACGATTGTACTACAACAAAGTTTTGTTAAGAATCTCTTACAGCAACAACATCGTTTTTTTTTTTTGGTTAATGCAACATCGTTTTTCTTATCGATGAGAAAGGTTGCCAATATGACTGATCGGATATACTCTGTGAGATTCATGATGATTCTTAAAAGAGGTATGGTTATATGATTTATTTGTAAGATATTGTTATCATTTTTTACAATATTTTAAAAATAAATCCAAATTGTAGTTATGAAACCATCAATTTCTATCAGGATAGAGCATCTGATTTCCTTGCACCTTTGAATAGAAAAACTACTATATTAAAAGAAGAGTCGAGGGTGGTATGGAAACACTTTCCGATATCTTAATCTAATTACATAAATGAGAATAGAGTGTGCTTCTTTTTTACTGTTTACGCAGGGCATGCATTTGAAATATCAAAAGATGGTTATCCTAACAAGTAGTCCAACGGACAGATGAAATACCAAAAGATGCAATGATCTCCCACTGTCCAGCTCAAGAACGGATATAAATCCAAGAGTGAATTTCGTATCCATTTCGTGAAAAGATGCCGAAATGTGTTATGATCCGTTCTATTTTTCACATTGTCCGATTTTTTCTTTTTAGAATCATAGTTAACTTTTTCTCCTCAAAAAAAAAAAAAAAGAAAGTCCATTGCATAATCCTGATTCTAACTACATTTCAAAATGGGAAAAGATCAGAATAGTTAGGCTAACAAAAAATGATACAATTAAATCCATTTTGTAAAATAGGATAGCTAATTCTTATTTTAATGTTCAGAAAATTCATCATCGGCCAAAAATGGCTATTTTTCTTCAATATTTCCAAAAATTTTATAATAAATTAATAACAATAATAAACATCAACTTACGTACAATATATCAATTGTTTCAGTTACTTATCATATTTTGAATACTTATTATATCATTATTAAAATGTCTCTTTATTCCCATTCGGGTTGTATGATATGCAATGCTTTTAGTCACCTCGACTACTTATATTATTACATCTATAGTACATTATTAAATTATAAGAGAAAACCGGAGAGAGAATCCTACATGACAACGATTAGTTTTAAATTTACATGACAATCTCTCTAAAATTTGTTTTAAATTTACGATAACGATTCCGGCATAATAATGTTTATGTAAATATATCTCAATCAACTATGGTGGAAATGTTGGTTAAATTAATGCTAACTAGATGTTTGGCCCAGGCAGATGCCCGGCCGCCCCTTCTAAATTACTATTTTATTAAAATCTAATTGAATTATTATTTTTTGAAGAATTAATTTGGCGTATATATCATTTATGCTATGATTTGGGGCTTAAAAAAATATACCTATAAATCTGATGTTATAAGGGAATAATAAATAATTAGTTTATAAGGCATTATTCTTAATTGCTGGATTTAGGTATTTTTATTTTTTGTTTATATTAAGCCGGCAAAACTATACGATTGGACATTTGAATTTGAATTAATATATCCATTCGTTTGAAATGTAACTGATCCTTATTTATAGTAAAACATGTGTTTTTTTAAAAAAAAAAATTTATATAACTTCTAATTAAAAGAGACTTACACGTGGCAAAAAGACTCCTGAAATCTGAAATATGGTGCATTGGAGCCAAAACAGATGCATACTTAGTTGCCACATAAGCTTCATGTCTTCTGGTTTAATAGGGTAAAAGGGATAAGGCCACAGTAAATGGTGCACGGAATACCCAATTATAATATAGGGATCCTAGGTACACCTAGCAAGATGTATCTAGGGTGAAAATCACGCGACCACAAAAAGAGAAACTCCCAATATTTACAACAATGCCATCCGAGTGTTTACACGCGCCCATTAATACCCCCATTATGTGTGATTTCTTGATTTTCAAATCTTGATAACCACCATTATCTCCTAATTTTCAGCCATTATTGATGATCCAACATTTCATTCGATCTATTCCATTACTCCCCAAATCAAAAAAAAAAAATTCGAAACCCCAAAAAATCAATCCTGCGGCGATACATTCAGAGAAGCTACCGTCGGCGGGACTTCCGAAGTCTGAATCGAATCGTTCATAAAAAACGGTAATTCTGATTACAAGTTACAATACTGAAGATGAGGATTAAGGTGTATTCTGGTCAAATTCATCGATTTTTCTGTGTTTGTCTATTGTTGTTTGATTATCGTTTGATGAATGTTGTTTTTTCTTAAAATATTCATGTAGATGCCTATGGCTGAGGATTCCGAACCGAGTATGAGCAAATCGGAGGATGAAGGGGAAGCGAGCTAATACAACTACTCTCTTTAATCATTGGTGTGGTTTTTTTATTTGGGTTATGTAGATCTAAGGTATGTTCACTCAATTAACGATGTTTGTTCATCAATTTTAGAGATATGTTCTTCGATTTGCTTTTTATTTTTGGTAAATTAGAAGATCTGAGAATTATTCATCAGTTTGGTATAATTAGTCGTTGTTGAAATTATCAGATTCATCCTTTTCATAACTATTGAAATTATCAGATTCATCAATTTTAGAGTTTTGTCCTTCTATTGGATGTTGTTTTTCTAGTAAATTGGTAGATTTGTGTATTATTCATCAGTTTGGTATAATTATTCATTGTTGAAATTGTCAGATTCATCGTTACCATATTTATGTAGTATTGTTTTTTGGTAAATTATTAGATCTTTGCATTATTCATCAGTTTAGTATAATTATTCATTGTTAAAATTGCCAGATTCATCGTTTACCATCACTATGTAGTATTGTTTGTTTTTTTTTGGATAAATTCCTAGATATTTGTATTATTCATTAGTTTGGTATAATTATTCATTGTTGAAATTGCCGGATTCATCACATCTGACAAGTTGTTCATGGAATTTGTAAATATATTATAGAATGAGCGATGAATATCAGACACAATCTGAAAGAAGCATGAGCGAAGAACAACATTCAGAAGCCAAAAGAAGCAGGATATATGAATCTGCAAAAAATCAAACCACAATAAGTGTAGATATTGATATAGAGGGTTATTCGTCAATTTGGTATAATTATTCATTGTTGAAATTGTCGTATTCATCAGTTTGGTATAATTGTTCATTGTTTTATCGCACCTACCTCTTGAATTTTTTACTCCTTGTTTGCTACATGCAAATTGTTTCCAATATACAACACCAGATTTGGACATTTTCCAATCTTTGAACTTGTTTATTGAAAAAACCAATGCGCTTTGTGTAAGAATTATAAGCAACAAAAGTCTCTTCCTCATAGTTGAAACATCGTCCAATTAGCAAAACTTCTGTTATTCATCAATAAAAACTCGTTATTCATAAGTTAACATAAGATATACATCGTAAAATAGTAATCATATAATACACCATCGATCAAAAAACAACAATGAACACCTTGTTCATCAATAACCATACATTACGCATTACCTTACGCAACGAGCGACAAGAAGAAACATAGTTTTAAAAAAATAATCTCATAAAATAAAATAATATAAAAGGTAACATGATAAGCATTAAAAAAGATAACATTTGAAATTAAACATGTGCTAAAAAAAGGGATAAAATTTTGAGAAATTAATTCACATAATTAAAATTTGGAGTAAAAAAAAGGATAACATTTGATCACGTAATTAAACTGATGATTTGCATAATAAATGCGCGTGTGGACTCCTTTTTTTCGGACTCAATTATTCCAATTTCTCTTCCCCCAGGTGTGGTTCACGCACTGCCTAGGTACACCATGCAAGGTGTAAGGTGTACCTAGGATCTTAATATTATTTTCCACTGAATACCTAATCAACTATTACTTAAAATTTAATAAATTAATGCATTGAATTAATGTGTCATAATTAAAGGAATTAGTTTAAAATTTAAAAAATTATATTTAAAATAGGGAAATCAAATCATAATCTTGCAAAAATCCCTAAAAATATGCATTATGATATGGTAATTATCTAGTCTGATAAAAAAGTAAATGCATGATGATATGATAATTTAATATGATTTCAAATATAATTAATAATTATAAATTGGCGTTGAATCCCTATAAATTTATAACGTATTTATTTTACAATTTCACATAAATTCCAGAATCTATAGTATTATAGAGAAAAATAAAAAAATAATTTCTACGTTGCCATGTTCGGCAAATCCTTCGTGGCATCTCCTAAAAACTGGTTTTAAACAAGTTTTAAATTTACGACAATATTCCTTACATAATAGTGTTCATGTAAGAATATCACAATCAACTATTATGGAAAATTTTGATTAAATTAATGCTAAAAAGCCCACAATAAATGGCACACTAAATACCTACCTAATAAACTATTCT